TGCTGTGACAATTTCCTTGCAGCTTTAGAAGGTGGCTGAGGTAGTCTTGCAGCACTGATGGTTTTGCTGCACCAAATGGGTTGATGGTGAAGCACCTGCGTTCTTCCTGCGATGCTGTTATATGCCAAGCCCAAAGCAAGCTGCTGAGTCTAAGCTCCATCTTCACTCTTAGAAGTTCAGTTCTGAGTTTTAGTTCTACTCTTTGGACCAGGAAGTTCTCAGCTCGTGGGTATTACAGTTTTATATTTACATGCACGTCTGTAGTTTTAGCACTTATTTCTGACTCAAGCCTTCTCTTTAATCTTTCCCTGCTTCTTTTTTCCTTCCCATTTATTCCCAGGGCAGGTTCACTTCTGCAGGATATAACCTTTTGTTTTATCCTTAGGCCTCACTATGTCAAAAATGGTGTTTTAACGTTAGCTTTAGCTAAACAGAGGGACCAGATGCAGAACTGAGTTATCCTAACTCAGTAAGCTTCCAGACATCAGCTGAGCAGCAGCTCAATCCTAGCCTGTGGCAACCACAGGACCAAACCCATGGACACAAATTTTTGGTGATAAACATTTTCTGCTAAGGCAGTTTATTTTCAGTCTCTCATGTTAAGAGTGCTAGGATTACTCAGGCAGTGTATAATGTTAAGCCTCAGTAATTCACTTTTGCTTCTGAGCTGTAAACTGGTAAGATTCTGTTGCTAATAAAATTGGAAAGCCAGAAACCCAAACCTACACATGACAGCTGTACAACTCCTGAGCACCAAGCATGTTACACAACAAATCTGTTGCTGGGGCTGCTGGTTATCATTAGCATCTGGCTGCCCATGTACTGCAAATCACAAATACTAACAGCACAGTTTTTGTCTGCTTGATGGCGTTTGGTGTCCTTGTAGCCTACTGATTTTGCAGCTTCCGTGGTGTTTAGCAGAGTATGGCTGTTCCATGAGATATAGCATGGGAATAAGCTTCCCAAGAGGTGGTTGAGTCACCATCCCTAAATGTGTTTAAAAACCATTTGGATGTGGTTCTCAGGGACATGATTTAGTGGAGGGTTGTTAGGGTAGTATGGTTAGGTTGCTTTTGGACTTGATGATCTTGAAGATCTTTTCCAACCTGAGCAATTCTATGATTCTATAGTTCTACAGAAGCATCAATGAGAATGTCTTTGTCTTTGAGGAAGACTGTGATTGTCCTTGGGCAATTTGTTCCTTTTTTTCCTCTAAAAGCCAGTTATTTTTAATATACTATTTGATGTAGTACTTCATCTATACCTTTCCCATAGTAAGTTAAGCATATATATAAAGCACATGTGTTATGGAAAGAGGAAAAAATATGCTCAGAAATGCCCATACAACATGTGAGAGTACATGTCTACATGCCTATGTATTTTTCCCTTGTGATACTTTCTTCACCAATTGCTGAATATAAAGGATCCTTTTCCTTTCAGTAGTTCATATGCAGATAACTGTGCTGGCTCCTTTGAGTCCTTCCTCTAGGCTGAACTTGCCCATTTTTTCCCCAAGCTTTATTCATTTGTGTTGCTCTCCCCTATGCACTCCTTGGTTTCTGGCTCTTATTGAATGCAGGCAGCATATTGCCCAGCAGAGCGAAATATTTAGCTTTCAACTTTGTGGTATTCATGTACTGATGCACCAGCAGTATAAAACACAGTGGAACTGGAATAGTTTATAACAGCCATTACTTTTTTGTAACTCTTTAAACTATTTCACACTTCATTTGGAAGGCTCCCCCGTGGTAGCTGGAGTGGGCTTGAGGAAAAACTGAAGAGCACAGCTCTGCAAAAAACATTATTGTTGATCTGTAGTTCTCATGCATTTGTTCAACTTTAGAAACAATCGATTTTATACAAACCTAAAGGAAAGTAGAGCAGAGGCTTCTGTGGTCTGCGCCCTGAAAATATTGGAGACTTAGTCCTTAGGCAGTGTCAATTAAATGTCTTGAGTTACCCATCAGTTTATGAATTTAAGACTGCAGAAATAGTGTTCTCTGTGTTGATGACAATTCCAACTGTAAACTATCCTGGCAAATTTTCTGTGTATGATTCTCCTGGCTGAAAGATTTTTCTGTCTATTTGTATATACTGTTAAATAGATAATAATCTTCTCATACTCTGCACTGTCTTACTGGGTTATAACTTTTTAAAATTTTAATATTTGCTCAGTCTGAGTCAATACTTGTCTGTGGAGAAAATAAACCAAAAAAACTCTTAGCAAGATAAATATCACCTATAAAGGTAGAAGAGGATTTCTCTTTTATGAATACCTGGTCAGTACGTTCTTCCCATCCCCAGTGACTTCCATATTTTTATTTACCAAACAATCATACCTCAAACATAAACTTAAGCCATAGAACAGTAAGAACCAGCATTTGGGAACTGAGAAGTTGAATTCTCTGACATCTTTTCTGCTAGTGGATTGGGTAGGACTTCATAACTAACATTCTAACTCTTCCTTCCCCTGATCCCAATACCCAAAGTTATCTATCTTTCCAGAGAGACAAAGGTGAATACTATCAAATTAGATAGGATTACTAATGCTATGTTCTTTTTTCTTTTTTTTTTTTTTTTTTTTTTTTAAACTTGGACTTAAACAGAATGTGTCATTTAAATACTAGATTTTAAATACTAGAATACTCCCTTCCCTTCCCTTCCCTTCCCTTCCCTTCCCTTCCCTTCCCTAAAGGAGACTTGAAATCTTCATTTTGTTTGAACTTTCTTTTTTGTTCCAGTAACATGGAAATGAAATGGGCCTTTAAACAAGCACTTTTAACCACAGTGGCTCTTACTTTGCTCTTTGGAAAACAGAGCTGAACTTTTTCTTTCAGTAAGTGTAGTTCTGTGTTGCTGCTCTCACCTCCATCTCTTTCATAAACTGATTAATCTTTACTGTATTTCATGTGCCTTCCTTCTGAACTCCTGGATAATGGCCATGTTCTGATATCAGAAAAGTGGCCTCCTGGACTTGAAGCCTTCCAGCCAAAAAGCAGTAGCAGACAAAGGAAATGATTCATTGCATAAAGGCTTGATTCGATGTCATAATTCTTAAACATGTGCAGACACACAGAGTTGTTGTCTCTTTAATTGGATTTCTAATGTAGAAAAAAAATCTGTTTAAGGTATCAAAGTACATGTGATGACATAAAAACTCTACTGGTCTTTTATGCTGCATATCAGTTGGATGTCTTAAATGTGCTGATGTATTTTTGGAGGAAAAGTATGTGGTCTTGTAACTTAACAATTCCGGCCATTTTTTTCAGTGGCAAAGACAGAACACTGTGAATGTTATGTACATTATTTTGTGTATGAACTGGAGATAAATGTGATGTTAATACTAGAAACAACTAAGAAAAAAGCTCAAAGCACTAAAAAATCTTGAATCTGATAAAGTGTGTAACAGTTTGCGTGGGTAATTTAAGGTAAATTCTGTAAGCTGCTATTCAGTCAAACAAAGGGAAATCTGAAAAAACCATCATAACATTATTTAAGTAACAGTTGAAATTGTACAATGAATGCTGTAGGGGTCCTCTGCATGTCTGCAGCTCAGTGGAGATGCCAATATTGGCCCCACTGGCACCAGAGTAAGTTGGAAAGCAGGGAAGGGAGCACATTAAATGGCACCATTAAAGCTCACAGCTCAATCTTTACTAATTTAATCTCATAAATTAAATTAATCCACATCATCCTAGAGCAAGTCTTCAAAGAAAAAGAAGTAACTGGATATAAATACTTTCCTCCCCAAACTCTGAATTACAGTGATATGACAGCGGACAGCTTTTGCCCTTTGATCTCTGCATGATTTTCATTCCTGTTTGTAGCCTGTGTCTCAGACCTCCTTCTCTCATTACTTTTCCAGAGCCAACTGAGCTCTCTCTGCTTCCTACCTTGTCCTCTAGCCACCCCCTGTGGCCCTTTTCTCTTTTAAAGAACTTGGTCTTCATCCCTTATTATTCTTTGTTTTCTGCCCTTTTTCTTCTGCTTTCCTCATGATAGCATGAAATAAAATACCAGTGCAGAGAAAACCATGCTGAATACTGTAGAGATGTGAGTGTACTCTGCTACGTGGAGCAACCTCTGCTCCGTGCATGCCTGGTGAATCTGTACTTTTGAGGTTTTCCTTTTGCTGAACTGGAGCACTGGCAGTGTAAACTTCTATCCACACAATATACTGTGTAGATAAAAAACATTTCCTCCAAGTGGAACTGACATGCTTTCATCACTCATTTGATCACCTCCAGTCTCTAATACACTCCAAAGCCTGTCCTGTTTCTTTGTTGTCACATTAGATTGATAGCTCTTTGAGTCAGCAACTGTGTTTTGAATTCAGCCTAACGAAACAGGCCCTCTTCCCTTGTTCAGTGAGTTACACCTTAGCTATGACAGTAAAATAAATATGCCCGAGGAATTCCTGGTGCCAGACAAACACAAGTCTGACAAGAAAACTGAGGCTTGATCTGGCAGCAAGTCACCTAAGACCATGACAAAGAACAGGACTTTGTGCACATCTTTAACAACTCTTGGACAGACTGCCTAAATGCGTGAGATCCCAAGTACTTTTGAGGTATGGGATGTGGCAGCCAACACAAATGTTCTTCCCTGCAGACTGTAGTCTTCCTCTGTGCTTGAGCAACCTGTGCTGGAAGGCGCTGATAGCCATGCTGGGGAAGTAGTCCTCTGAAGAACTTCTTAGCTTGAGGAAGTGGTTTGGTTGGTAATGGCTGAGATCTGAAGTCTGCAATCTATAGTGAGACTTAAATAAGAAAAGTAAAAATTATGCTAAAACTTTCTGAAAATGTTATCTTTGGTATTTGCTGTTAACTCCAAGTATATTCTTCAAGAGCTGAATCAAAGCAAACCCTGGTGTTGGTATGATGTTGTTTGCTTCAAAAGTGGAGCACCAATCTCACTGACCAAGGAAACCCCTTACAGTACAGTTGCTGGGTTTTTTTTTGTAAACAAGAATAATAAGAGACTGTTTTCTTTCATTCTAGTTTCAACTCATATGTCTTAATAACTCCGAATGAAAGCAGAAGAAATCGGTTGCAGCAAAGTACGTTGAGTTGTCTCATGCATTGTGTCTACTTGAATGTTATGTGCTTTATTGCCCTTGCAACTTTTATCCTCAACTTTTCAATTATTTTTGTGTGTGCAGCTGTGAATGTGAAGTCAAGATTATGAGCATCTTCCTGTAGGCTTTTCTTAAGATTAAAGTCTCATCTGACTCAACTGCATGCAAAGTAGGGCTTCTTCAGGAAGAGGTTTTTGGTAATAGCAGTGCTGTAGCTACTCAAACTGACTTGTACAATTCTCATCTGGAATTAGATCAAAACAACATTAGCAGGATTGAATTTAGCTTTGAAGACTTTTTAGGTTATAGGGAGGAAGAATCAAAATATATGTATGAAATATTTTTGAAAGCATTCTAATATAGAAGCTAAAGGAGCAAGAACCATGCTATCTGTTGCTTCTTGAATTCTTGTTTAAATTAGATGAGATGTGTTAAAAAGCTTTCATTGGCCAAAGTTACAACAAAAGAGCCATGAAAGAAATTCCATGTGCAGACCCGACCAAACACTGCAGTCTTGCACTCCTCACTGTTTATTTGTGCAGAATATGACAGCTAGGGAGTGTCAGTCAGAACTCCTCACATTTTGAGCCCTCAAGGAAATAATGCAATTAAAGCATTTCTTCTTAAACATTGTGAGTTTGCCTGAAGTGATTTATTGGCAGGGCTTCCTTTCATTGCAAGAAAGAAAATGAGCTTCCCCTGAATGAAAACATAACCCCCTGGAAGGAGAAATTAAAGCAGATCATTTTAGGACTGACTTTAAGAGCATAGGTACTGTTGCTTTAATAAAGGTCTGCTTTTACTTTGTGCTGCCAATGTGCAAGGTCTCAAGCATGCAGCGTTCTTCTACCTTAGGGAATAGTAGAAAATGAGGCCTCACTGAATCCATCTGTACCTAAGGCCTTGTTTTAGAGGTAGAACAAGAAGCTGGTGTCAGTCTTGGGCTCTTTAGAGACCTGCCCATGGCCTGGCTTTATCCTTTCAGAGCATTTGTTTGCTGTAGCTTGGCATTAGAAAATATAGTTCATGTGGTTAATAGGACTGAGCAACTGAGGTACTACTCTGAAATACAGATCTTATTTCCATAGTCTTTTTGGGCTTTACTGTTAAAGGAAATTGCCTTTTTCTCTGTCAGTTGATTCTGTACAGCAGTTTAATCAACCAGCCTTCCCATAGGGCTGACTCCACAAGCCTCCCAACACTACCAGCTGCACTGACTACATTCCCACTGACTAGACTGGGAGCTTGCCGCTCAGCTTGCTTGTGGACACCTATCCTGACATGTCTTAGTTTGTAACTGAACCATGCATACTTCCCATTCTTATTTAAGAAACATGTTTGGGAAGGAAGAAGTTTTTACCATATGGTCTGGAGTTAGCAAAAATTTTGCTTCTCCAGTAATTTTGTAACATGCTGCAGGGCTGTCTGCATTCTTTGAGAACAAGAGTGACTGTCCTGGATGAGTTGTAATTGCTCCACGCAGCTAATGCTATCTGCTTTTTAGGATGGCTTCTAACTTCTATGTATTTGGGTTTTTTTGTACCCACTCAGTTGCTAAGAAAGAACTAGATGACCTGGAGCAGTGGAAGGAAAAGCACAGGCCAGGACCAATTAAGTTGGCTCCACAGAGACTGGGTAAGTTATTATGAATTGCAAAATCAATACTTTTTTTTTTCCTGTATAATATATATACCATACATGTATGTCCTCTAGCACATAAGACATCTTTCACTGTTTTTCTCACATGCTGCTAATTAATGAGATTCAGTGTCAATAAGGGTTGATTTGAGCCTGCTAACTGCTCTCTGTGCTTTTTGATGGTCATGGCAATGAAGATGCTTCTGAAGCAAAACAGCATGGAATGTCACTCAAAAAATCTGTCAACATTATTGTAGAAAATCTGTGCTTGATTTTGGGGAAAAAAGGAGATTGACGAGCCTGCCTGCTGGGAACATTGTCTGGTTGATGTCTTGGGGGTGATGCACATATGGCATTAGCGTGCAGGTGGACAGCATTTGCTGGAGACCCTCTGGTTGTCCATAAAAAACACTCTTTTGGGTTTAGGGCCAATACGTGTGCTGGCTCCTGAGGAGGCAAAACTGATCCTTGCAGTTTCAGCCTTTTGCAGGCTGCATGTGCACAAAGCTCTCTATTACTGATTTTATTTAAAATAACTACAGAGGTAGGTAAGTGAAAAACAGGATAAAAAGCTGCATGAACTTAGGTCATCTGAATTGAAATGATGCATTTGGTACAACAACCAACTACTTTTTTTGTTGACATGTGAGAGGAACTGTAGTAGATCTTTTTGATTGCAAACACTATAAAGCATTTAATATAGTCCTTTCTGGCAATTAGGTTTTTTTTTTAACGAATTAAACAACTCACCCCCAGTCTTTTACATGGAATAAGACAGCAGGGTGTGCTGAAGCAGGAAGATTAATAGAAATGCTTTTCAAGTATCTGTGTTCAGACCTATCTTCTTGTAATATCTTTATTTAACATCTTTAGCATAAAAAGTAGAAGTGGGTTGATGAAACTTGCTGACAAGACAAAACTTGAAAGCATCATTTGCATAGAACATGGTGAGGAGTTGGGCAGAAAACAGGGATGACCTTGAAGGCCACCACTAGTAGAAATTGGACAACATTCACTGTGATAAAGTGAATGATTACAGTGATGCCTTTATCAGTTTTGTAACCATACAGCTCTTCTTCCTTCTCTTGGCTGTCGTAGGGGATTTTGAGAAGTGCAGTACTGACAGACCATTGTCTGGCTTGGCTTCCTGGGAATTAGGTGTGTTCTTTGCCATGCTACCTAAGATCAGTTCAGTGTGATTTTCTGCATGCAAACGTTGATATGAGGTAGGAGTTGAAGAAATTTGAACTGATTCCACAGCAGTTTTTTTTTCTGTGATCAAGATGACATTAGTCCCACATTTATTTTACCCTGCAGTGTGAGTCCCAGCTGGCAGTGAGAAGCCTACCTTGCAGGTTGGTGTCATACTGTGTTCCCCATGCAGTCATGTGGCCAGATGTGGACTTCGTTAATGCATAACAGCTGCTTCCTACCTGTGAGCAGTTCCTAGAATATGCTCACATGTTTGCATCCCAAGAGGACCACAAAGCTTATTGCTGAGGAAAGAGAAAACTGAAAAAAGAGAGTCTATGCGTAATGTCTGTTCAGAAAGTGTGCAGATTGGCTGTGTGACAGGGGACACAGCAGAAAAGCTTCAGTGGCTAAGGATGTGGGGAGTATTAACTTCCTCTGATTTCACCACATTTGAAAATATTCTGGTGAAAGAAAGCAAAAAGCTTCTGAAAGACTTCAAGGAGGCTATATGAGCTCTTCAGTCACTGTCTAGCTGTCACTTAGAAAGACCCTTAGAGGCTGAGACACGTGCATTACATTCAGTGCCTCTGGAAAGAGGTAAGGTGCAAAGATTATTAGATGTTAGGATTCCCAGAGGAAGAAATCTGGAACAGAGGAGAGCTCAGGGAAGGAAGGAAAAAAAAAAGAGTAGCATCTCTAATTTCACAACTGCAGGTACTCATTAAGGTAAGAAATTATGTTATTTACTCAAAGTTACAATACTCATCTAGTTGAAATCACCAGAGTTCTTAAAGTTGAAGTTTCTTAATATTCATGCTTTCCATAGGGAAATAAGTATTCTGGAGTTCACCTCTGTAGTATTTGACTGGCAAACTTTAAAGTGCCGTGAAGGGATGAGAGCAATGTGTGATGCAAGTGCTGTCCTCTTCCACAAGCAGTAAGTGGAGAAAGAGATTATGCCTAATAAATGCAATTGCCTCTTCTCCCATTATACAAAGCCAATCATAACATATTCTGACTTCAGTGTCAGAATATGCAGTGTCAGAATATTGCAGTCAAACCAACTTAAAGGAATTAAACTTGTCTGAAAGGCTGTAGGCAATGGCTGATAATCGTAGGTATTTATTTAGAGCTGATGCCCAGCAGTATATGCAGAACCACACAATGAATACAAGTGTGTTTGATGTTGCCAATAACAGGTGAGAAAGAAAGAAATACTGAGCATCCAGAAGATTTCAGAATTTGTATAATAGCAATTTTATTTCCTGTACCTGGGGATGAAACATTCCACAATGGCAACTGTATGCTTGTTGCTACTGTAAGCTTGTTGCTTGCATTCTGCATGGAAAGTCTTTCTGGAATCTACACTTGTATGTAGTGTGTTGTATGCACATGAATGTTTCCTCACTTAAGGAGTGTGATCTCCCATTTATTGAAATTCACAAGAGCACGTAAGTGGAGAACATTAATTCTAGTCTGGGATGATCCATTCTGAAGGATCTAGTGTGGTTTTCTTAATGTTTCAGGACAGATTCTATTGAATTAATAGTTACATAGTGGGGAATTTCACAGGAAATCAGTAGGTGAAAGTACAGCCCTCCATCTCAGAATGAGATGGGGTCTGCTTTTGTTTTTTTTTGTTGTTTGTTTGTTTGTTTCCAGCAACCTAGGGAATAAATTACTGGCTTTCCTAAAGCAAGAAAATCCTTTGAAAAATAATAAACCAGAATAACTGAAACAAAATCACTCCATCCATCCTTTATGCTTTATCAATTTCTATTTGTTTATTTGTTTGTTTTTAATTTTATAATTGAAGACTGAACATCATGACTAGAGGTCTAGATGCTCTCAGACGAGAGCACATGCCTTTGGAAAGAGCACCTTCTGCTAAGAACTTATGAATATCAGGTCTGTAAGTAAAGGTTTTGATTTCCATTTTGAAAAGGGGATTCTTCTTCAAGCCCCAAGACAATGCTGAGATATTCAAATGATAGCATCCCATTGCAGTTGTCAGAATCTCCATGCCCCTAAATATGATAAGGAAGAATCTTTTTGGCAATAGAGTTTCTGACTCTATATGCATGCCTGACAAACTGCACAAAGGTGGGGTGAGGTAGGTCTGAAAATCAAGACTCATCTGCAAAGCAGAAGATAGATCTTCTGCAAGTCGAATAGTTTTCAGTAAACTGATCATACACAGAAGGATATATTTGCTAGTAGAGTGGATGATACAGTGGATGCTCTGCAAATAACAAGCTTGTGCTTTTGACGGATGGCTAAAATGATCAAAAAGGTCTCCTGCCTGTTCTCTTTAATGTCAGACAGTGCCTGTAATTATGAAAAATGTTCTGTATATGCATACATTCAATCTGTTATGTTGCTCTGCTCTGAAATGATTGACATTTTAGCTTTAAATACTCGTGCAAAATGCAATTTGTACTTTGTTTTTAAGGTGGAAAAGAATCAGAGGCTCAAGCAAGGCAAAAACAGCAAATGATGTTCGCACAATCTAAATACCAACAAAAGGTCAGTAAGAATAAATTTGTTTGTTTGCTTTAAGAATTCAAAAAAAGCTTTTCATGAGCTGTTTCATATGACTATAAAATTACAGCTACTCAACAAAAGAAAGTAATGAAACCTAAAGAAAGCTGCAGAAAACTAGAAACAATTGATCTGCACGAAAGAAAATGAGAAATCTGTCCATAAATATGTAGCAAGCCATATCACAGATCATATCTAAAATGATAACCTGTACAATTGCAAAGCCACTTGCTTACCCCGCTGTATCTTCCAGCATGCTGCCTACAGTTTCACTTGATTTCAATTAATCAATGCATCTCTCCCAGTCAGTGCTGTAAGTACATAGTGGTTCCTGTTATAAAAGTTATAAATGCTTGAAAGTTACCAGTCATCTGTGTATTCCTTTCATGGATGACCATTTATCAGTGCCAGATTTCTCAGCCTTCCTAAAACCAGTATTTGAAGTAATGGTTGCATGGTCTGTCTTATTCAGTGTCTTATTTTAAGAAAAAATTCTGGAAACTTCGATTGAGCACTTTGGAAAGTGTTTCTGGAAACTCTGATCTAGTATTAAATGTGGAGGCTGGTGGCCCTTCCTACGGCAGGGGGTTGGAGCTGGATGATCCTTGAGGTCCCTTCCAATTCAAGCCATTCTATGATTCTATGAATCATGAGAGTCAAGTGAAGTTACCTTATGTTTTCTTTATATGTTAAATATTGTTTTATGTTTACATCACATAGCACAAGAGAGAAGAATATATGAAAGCAAGAAAAGCAGCTGAAGAAGCCGAAATCCTGAAAAAGAAAGCCATTCAGAGAGAAAAGGTAAAACATAGTTACTAGAGAGTTGGAACCATATAACATATGCTCATTAAATGAAATGATGGGTCCTGTATAGCATCATGCAGTTAGAAAATCCAGTCCTTTTCTTAGTACCTCAATGAAGAATATTTGAGCTAATGTTCTTTTGGGTTTTTGACTTCCTTTAGCTCTTCAGAAACTCAGCCATTTGGTTGCACTCAACCTGAGGAGTTAGAGAGCACTAGGGTCAGGATAAGTGTTGTGAATATTGATACAGCTTATAAGATTGATTTTAGCATGAACTTTCTCTGTAAGATTTGGCTGTGGCAGGTGGCACATAGTAATCCTTAATTGCCTGCTGTACATATAGGAAGAATAGAGTAAAATTCATCCTGTCATGGTGGGAAATGCATTCAAAGCATGAAAAGGTCATTACATAACTACACTGTGCTGAGCACTCCCTGAAATGCTGACACCTCTCCAGCCTATGTAGCTTGCACATTCGGGTGCATTACTAAAATGTAAGATCACTTTTACTGCTAGTATTGGCCATATATTGACACTAGTGACTGCTCACTTCCAATTCTTCAGTTTTATTTACGTTTCTTTGTCTCTGAGTAATTCCCACAATGATTTATTGTCTTGTGCTCTATAAGCCTGTGGAAAAATTCGTTCATTACTCCTTGGTGGAGTCCAAGTAGCACTTGGTTGAAAATGTAACATGGAATTTAAATGAAAAAAGAGGAGAAGCATGGTACTGATGCGTACAGTAGTAATGAGGGAAAGGGAGATTTCAGGTTTGCAAAACAATAAAAATGATATTCTGTGTGGAAGCTGAAGGCTGAGAGTTAATTCCCAAATCATCACTGCTAGATTTTGTGCAAGGAGGTACATAAACAAAAATAACCTGAATTGCCTCTGGATGAGGCTCACTCTGTTCCCAGTCTTTTTGTGGTCAGTATTAGTTTTTGGTAATAAGCCCATACACAATAACTCTCATGGGCAATAAGTAGTAACATCTGAAAATGTCATTACCAGTTACCAGTTCATGTATAGCTCCAGAAGCAATGGCAATAGCAATGGTAGAATGGGGATTCGTTATATTTTATTCAGCTATTAAATATATGTTGTTTGCCCATGGGCACTGGACAAGAAGAATGTTGCAAGACTGCAATAATTTGTAGTTATATCTAGAAAATATAATGATGTATCTGTTTTCTTTTCATGCTCTTTAATTTCTTACCTTCACATCCACAGATTATAAAATCTTTATAGATGTTGTAGACAGTAAAACTGTAACTATCAGTTTCTTCTAAAGGAAAGTGCACATCTTTGCCAAACAAACTGTTTAATTTGAACAAATAAACTTACACCCACAAATCAAGCAAACAAAACTAAGAAGCATGAAATGTCACCATTAACCTTAATTTGTGTATTTGGATTGTCTTCTACAACAGTGATTGAACTGATGACATAATAGTATCTGACTGATGAAATTAGTATATTCCTTCTTAGAATATACTAGTATATTAAAAAGTCAACTTTGTATAAGAGAAGTATGCTAGAAAATCATTAAAAGGTGTTGATTTGGCTATTTGACCCTGCCTCCTGATAAAAGTCTCCAGAGACCTACATATGACAGAAAGTGAGTTTTAAACAGCTGGTTCTATAGGCACTATAGGCTTCCAAGGGCAAGTCTTTCTGCAATTCCACAAACCTTCTTCTTGCTGGCCAGTCTTTTTGCTCAACAAAAAACAGTCTGAAAGTAGACAGCGACTAGCTGACTTTATTGACAAAGACCCTGAAGCTTTCACAACTGGAAAGCTACTTTGCCACCACACACAAGCGGTGAAGCCCTACGGACTTAGGGCTGTTTGTGTCATTGCTTAAATACTTGTTTTGCACAGAAAAGCAACATCTATTCTTCTTTTATCTGTGTGATAAAAAATGAGCATCTGCCAAAGCAGTATTCAAATGTGGAAGGTCTGTGTGACTGTGTGCAAGAGTTCACCTGCCTGTCCTTGGAATTATTTAATTGTCCATAAGGTTAGTTGCTGGAATAACAACGTTTGGCATTGACTTTGTCTATCTCCAGCTCCCAGACAGAAGATGGATCCTTCCCTCACCATTTTATATTCCATAGGACTAGTCTGTGTGAAATCTGCAAATCTCTGTGTGTAGCAGTGAGTGGAATTCAGGATCGCTTGTGCAGGCATCATCAGGCATCTCATCCTGCAACTGGTTTGATTTGTCTACAGGCTAACCCCAGACTGCATAAATTTGGCTTTCCTTTACCCTTAAGTTAGAGAGCTCTCAGAAAGAATTTTACAGAGAGTTTGTAATGTTAGCAAGGGAGTTCCTGTTTCTGTATTTCTCCCTCGTGCTGAGATGTGTGTCTGATCTTCAGAAAATAGGAATACAGGAGAAGCAACATAATTTGCTCATCAGCAGCAGGCATCTGCAGTTTGGTATCTTTTTTTAGCCTTCACATGACAGATCTTGACCAGATTGAGCCATAACTTCCTTTGAGTCTTTTGGATGAAAGAACTTGTCAGAGTTCCCAAAAAAACAAACAAGTGGTTGAGATTTGGTTCCTTGGTTTTTAAACTTCATGTATTTCTGCTGTACATCAAACAGTTTAACTTCAGTGTGCTGCACATTTTTATTTCATTTCATTCAATCTATGTTCCTGTTATCCTGACTTTGGCATTTCCTCTATATATTTTAAATGTTGGCAACATATGAAAAGATTAGAAGATTTGAAGTGAAAATGCTCAGTGTAATTTTACCACATGGAACTTTCTCACTTTTGCACTTACATTACATAGTAACAGTTCTGCCATCTTTAGAACCTGTCCTATTTATAACATACTGTAATTTAATTTTATTCTTTATCAAATCATGTGCTCTTTAATTTGCCTTTATTAATCATCATGGATGTCCTTTTTCGGGAATTTGTTAAAACCAGGCACTTTACAGACCTTCTGCTAGTGCTTTTCAACATGTTTACCTTCAATATCACAGCTGTTTCATGCTTGGCTTTGTTTCTGAAAGTTGTGCCAAATGTGGAGTGCTTTGGCAACCTCTACTGATAGATTGTCATTAGTTAGAGAATGTTGCAATCATTTCCCATCATTTGTATGTGTCCTAAACAAGGGTCTCAGGGTAAACTTCCACATTAGGAAGCAATTGCACCACCATTTTAATATGCTGGAATTTTCTTCAGGCCACATTTCTATGGGAAGGAAATAGGATATTTCCTTTTTTTTTTTTTTTTTTTTTTTAATGTAGTGGGAGTTGAGAGTGATACTGTGATACTTGAAAGGATTGCATTTGTCCAAGTTAATAACCGTTTTCTATTAAAAGCTGGAGCAGTGATTTTTGGATTTGAGCTTTAAGGGAGGCTTGCAATATGATGGCAGATCTTGTGTCGAATGCTCTTTCAGGCATAAAGGTATCAGCTTTCATGGTTGAGTAGTGATTGAGCAAAGCATGGGAACTATCAGTGCTGCCGTGAGGGTGTCTCTTACTGGCCAATAATAGATGCCAGTGAATTTTTGTCTTTTTTTTCTTCCCTTGTTGAGTTCAACATATAAGTGGGAGTCTTTTGCCTGAAAATCATTCATCTCTGACTGGGGGGTTAGGAGCAAAGAAGATGTTCATTCCTTGAACACTGTCAGAATTTACCCAGTTTGTGGAGTGATATGCTTTACACCTAATGCTCCTCACAGAACTCTCCTTGCAACTTCTCACCAACCACAAGGTGGGATCTTGTCCTCATAGTGTATCAGAACTAAAATCGTGGCTTAGCACTTATGATTTGTTGCTTTTAATACCCAGAACTGCCTTTTGGCTGCTCTCCCACTGGACCTATCTACAGTCTAAAAAGATGTCAAAAAAGAATTGATTTGCCTCCTTTTGACTGAAATTTCACGAGCTACATACTGCCGCTTCTGAGGAGGAGTTCCAGTTGCCCTTCCATTGGAAAATGTTCAGTTTTATATTGAAGGACCTGATTTCTATTGTGATATTTAGATTTTCCCAGGACTATCGTTTTTCATATTTTCATTGACTCTTCCACTGCATGTGGTATCTGAGGTGGAATAACACTGGATAAGCAAGCATAAACTCTCATTCTCATCAACCTTAGCCTTTATTCAAATCGGCCAGTATGTGATGCTCCTGAAGGCCATATGTCTATGATCCTGAATCATTGTAATTCCAGTACTGCAGGATTATGATCACTTTTTGTGTTCTGATTCTCATTCTCTACCTTCATGCTTCTCGCTAGAACCAGCGTTTCATCAGTCATTGAAAGAGATGGTCCTAACAACAGCACAAGAGCTGAGAAGCTGTGAGGCCCCTGATGAGGGTACACCTGCCTGTCAGGACCGTGGTGTATTTTTTTGTTTGATTCTGGTCTTTTGATGAACTTACTAGAAGTTATTTGTCTGGTCATGTTTGAATACTTTAAAATTTGGGGTGGAGTCACTTGTGTACCCAATCACTGCTGAATTTCTTAGAATCAGAGTATTGAAATACTTGAAAAAATCAGTTTGTTTCTTTCTGACTAGAAATTTCAAATATATTTTCTTTTTTATAATGCTGTAGGCAGAGAGACTTGAAGTTAAAAAAAGGCAACAAGAAATGCAAAGAAGAGAGATGTTCCTTGAAGATCAATTTCAGTAAGTGAAATTTGAAAGCTCCTCCTTAAATTCCCTCATTTGCTTATTCTTTTAATTTGGGAGATTTGGGCTTTTTTGTTTGTTTGTTTGTTTGTTTGTTTGTTTTCTTTTGGATGGACTGAGGATTAAGAAGGGTTTGGCTTCTGTTGTTTTTTCCACTTTTTTGACTTGAAATATTCCAAGCCTACTACATACCTTAATCTGTGAGCTCTGGTTCAGTAAATTTCCCTTAGCTTCTCAAAATATACATTTTCAAATGAAAACTGTAGGACTTAGTGTTTTCTTTCTCTAACTGAGTCAATATGTGATCATTCAATCCAAGACTAATTAACCAAACAGTGTCTACATACCCACCCATGTATTTTAGTGACTAGTAAAGAAATCTAATCCACATGGGAAAAAATGAGAACTTCCTATATTTAGCATAGTTCTCCTACAGCTTAGTGCAGAGATATGTTGTGAAAATCTGTTTCCCAATAATCTCTCCTTAATGTAAGAATTAGATACGGCTTAACTCTTTATAATTAATTCTATTGGCAGTAAGGTTCCTGCCTTGTTAGTTCATTCTGCTCTATCTATTTATTTTTAACTGATCCAAACCAACTCTATCACATAATTAACACACCATGCTGTTCAGTCACCTTTCCCTTTTTTATCTTCTACTCCTAAAATTACTCACCTTTGTTTCTAGCCTGATTGATTGCTCTTTCCTCCTCTGTGACCTTCGGAAGAACAACTTTTGTCCCATGCTAGAAGCTCCAGTTCCTTCATCATTTGCCGAGCCTCTAATCTACAGATGTTTTGGAGCTTTCTCACTGACTACTTTATTGACATCTTTATTTTATTTCTTCCTGTTTATCTTCAGATAGGGCACTTTCCTAGAATATATTGCCAGTGTTTGTCTACTGGTATTTTGCAGTTTGTCCCTTCTCACAGTATGGATTTCCCCTCAGCACACCTTCATTTATCAGGATCTGTACTCAGCTCTGGTGAGGCTGCACCTCGAGTACTGCGTTCAGTTTTGTGCCTCTCACTGCAAGAAAGACATTGAGGCCCTGGAGTGCATCCAGAGAGAGCAAGGAAGCCGTGAGGGGTCTGGAGCACAAGTCTTATGAGGAGTGGCTGAAGGAGCTGGGAATGTTCAGTCTGGAGAAGAGGAGACTCAGGAAAGACCTTACTGCTCTCTATAACTGCCTGAAGGGAAGTTGTAGTGAGCTGGGGGTCGGCCTCTTCTCTAGTGTAACTGGTGATAGAACTAGAGGGAATGGCCTGAAGGTGTGCTAGGGGAGATTTAGGCTTGACAGTAGGAAATACTACTTCTCTGAAAGAGTGGTCAGGCACTGGAATGGGCTGCCCAGGGAGGTGGTGGAGTCACCAACCCTGGAGGTGTTCAAGGAACCTTTGGATTTTGTGTTGAGGGACATGGCTTAGTGAGAACTGTTGGTGATGGGTGGATGGTTGGACTGGATGATCTAGGATGGTTTTCCCAGCCTCGGTCATTCTATGATTCTATGACTTCTGAAGACCATGCACAGCTTTGTATCTCTGTTCCTTTATAAACACCTTCATGCTTTTTAAGCCTAACCCAACCACAAACTCATCAGATCTTTCAGTACAGAATCCTCAATTTTGAGACTCTTTTCTATGGGGATTGTGAGGGTTCTTATCTTCCCATTTAGCCTGTTTTTTGCCTTACGTCTTACTCAATTGCAAATGGAGATATATCCCTTCCTTTCTCTCATCTTCCCCGTCTGTAACTTTTTGTTCCTTATGGTGAAAAGAATTCTGCTGGAATGCTTTTTCTGTTGCAAGTAAGCTTGGTCTTGTCAAAAGCAATCTCAAATGATACATCTTCATGTTGGCCATTAGTCTCCAGGTGGTGTAGGGGCTGACACTGACAAGGCACTGGCTGGCAACTTTCTGTCCACTGATGTAAGAGAATCTCATGAGCCTTCAGCTGGAGCTGTCCCAGGAAACTAAACTGACTGATACTTTTGATGTTAAAAAAGGAGTGTGTGCTGCCTTGCAGCACAGCTTGTGTCTGACTATAAAAAGATTATTTGTATACACTGGTTATTAAACTTATATCAGGAGAGTCAATATGGATTTGGATGTAGATATGGAAAGAGGTGAGCTGAAAGCCTACCTACAGTTAATGCAATTTCGGTTAACCAAAAACCTTTCATATTGTAGAGAATAGTATTACTGCCTTCAGTGGTCTAATTAAATCCTCGGGGGGCAGAGAAAGGAGGGTCTTGGGCAATGGATTAACCATCAGATATTGTTGAGGTCATATTGCTAAAATATGTTTCTGTTTTGGAATACAGTATCCTGTAGTAACAGGAAAATGCTGTGTGGCATCTTGGATCTTGTAAAGTAACTCCATTTATAAACTGCTAGTTATTAGAGACATGTCTGCAGAGAAATGTTAAAGCAGTTGTGTGCTTTTGCATACTTTGCAAAATAGAGAGATTCATTACTTTCATCATTTAAGAATTATGTCATTTGAGAATTATATCATTATGTCTAGCAGCAAAACAAACAAATATGAGGCTGTGCCCCTTTCCTCGCTGTCTCTTCTAGGAATAGTTTGATCTCCTTCCCTGCTTGCTCAGAAAGGGGCAAGGAGGGTCATGGGCTGCATATAAAGCAGTGACCTCTGCAAAGTCATGGCCTGTGGAGCCATTTCAAAAGGTAAGCTGCCTTATTAGTCTGTCCTCTGTAAGCACTGTAGCAGCAACATCACTGTTTCCTGAGGAGATCAATGCCTACCAGTGGTCTCATTAGCTGGGAAACCTTTTGAATTGATCAGCACATTCAGTTGTGTCTTCATACACAGGGTACAGCCAAATGAGTCCCCCTCTGGTATGCAGTGCTACTTCTATTTGATTTGGAAAAGCAGTTAAGGTTCTTGTGTCATTAACATACTCTACCAAGAAAGTATGATACTGGCCAGAAGTTCCCTTTTCAGATGAAATTCCTGTCACTATTAAAAACACGAATTTCTTAGTGAAATGCCCTCTCAAAGAGTAACGTGAAATGAGCAAATGCCAAAAAGAAAAATTGCCCACAGCCTTGTCCCCTGCCTACAAAATGCAGGTATTTCCTATCTCCTGAAACCTTTCTTAGCTTCCTTATGTAAAACTGGCCTTTGAAAGTCAGCTGTATGTGTTATCACAGTTGCTTGATGAAGTGTTGGTGTCATGTGAGAATGAGGTCTGGGCACACATGCAGAGTATTATGGAAAAACTGCAAGTCTCACCCTGTTGAGATCAGCAGCTCCTCTGTCTCAGGTGAATGCAGGCTCTATCAGGCAACTAAACTGGATAAAACTCACAAAGTTTGTACTAAAGTAGCTTTGTATAAAAAGTCTGAGCTACATGCAGGAGTAGACTTTGGTCTGAGGAGCTGCTGCACAGCAAGACTGCTATGGTTGGTGCTTAAAGAAGAGAAGAACTTGAGGGACTTTTTGGTCATAGCATTGCTGTAGTTCTGCCTCTCTAAGTATTAAATCTAGAAATTAAGAAGCACATGCACGTGTTTCTGCTGCAAGCTTATATATGAAATGGATTCCTTTATTCTCAGAAATAGTTTATTTGAAGCATTTTACATTGATGACCTGCAGTAGAAACTGTATTTCTGTCAGATTGTATTAAGAGATAATAAATGCTTTTGTAGCCCATACTTAGCAATCACCTAATCCTTGCGAGAAAAGAACTGAGTGTACATTTCCAAATGGGAATGAAGAAGAGGTTAGATGGTTAGATGGCCCAGGACTTTTCAGGATGTGCCTTTTACTCAGGGAACAAAAATTGCTTTTTAAACAAATTGCTTTTGAAGGAAAGCCACCTCATGGCTTGCTTTTCTCTGTGGCTTGTGTGAGTGCTCTTTCCAAGCTACGTTAATCTGAGCCTGAGCTGCAGGATATCTCACCACAAGGTTTTAGCACAACTCTCATAAGGTGCTTTTGCTTAATTTGGATTTGATTTCCCAGAAGCTGTGGTGTTGGGTGTACACCACCGCAAATCTAATACTGATTTATGTAAAGAGAAAAGCAGTCTAGTGCACACGGTTTTTTTAATGGCACATGATGGCCTTTGTATCGCTTCATCCTTCTCTTTGTTACATGCTTATCTCCCTGTTTTTATGAAGGTTGTACCCCTGTGGAAATTTCTGGCACTGTTGCACTCTGGTACATGTGTGCACTTGATATACACAGAATTTGGAGCTGGAAACACAGTTTGCCACAGTACCTCTGAGTGCATATTCCAAACATAGTGCAGGAGTTTCACCAAACCAAGCTGATATACACTTGCCTGCCAAAGCAGTTTTCTCCAAAGTCATAAAATCCAAGAAAATAAAACCTGAATCAAAGCAGAATTTTTATTTATTTCTCTATTTTTACAGGATAAATACTCATGTCCTTGCCAGTTTTCAGTCCTCTATGATGTGTGGTTCAAACAGCAGGCTGGTAACAAATTTTCCCCACAGAAGTGCAAATGTAAACCTGACCAGACTTTTAATATAGGTTGCTAAAGAGAGTGAAAGAGGGCTCACACAAAAAGGTTTGCAGCCTTGAGAATCTTTTGTTTGCTCTTTTCCACCACAATGGTCTCCGTTTTGTTCATTTGCTCCTGATTATTTTAAGCATTGTCAATTATTTAGCTAACAGGCAGAAAACTAGGCTTTTATAGACATCTAAAGGGACTCTCCTGAGTGTAATAATGAAGGCAGTTTATTGAATGCCTGTGAGGTTGCTTTCTAATTGTATACATTAATCTGCCCATGCAAGCTGGCTGAAAATATAGAAGCAGATTGCACATACAGATGGAGCACACAGAATGGAAGATCTATGCAATAGACTTATCCAAAACTGCATTTTCCTTAAAACTGGATTTATGCTTATTGCCTCAGATAATAAATGGAACTTGATGTCTAAAATAACTTCCAAGAACATTGGATGAGTTGGTGGGAGGAAAGAATAGCTTAGCAGTATTATT